TATTATTAAAATAATATTCGCGTAGATATTAAGAAGTATATTAATATATATAAAATCTATTTACGTATAAAGATAAAATATTACTATCTCTATAATAAACTAGGTACGCTTTCTTTACTAATGAGACTATAAAAGGAAATTATAATAGACTTTATTATAAATCTTTCTTCTAATAAATATAAAGATTATATTTATAACTTAATTCTTATAATAGTTAATTAATATATTAAAATATTAAAATATATATCTATTAATAAGATAATTAATATTATATAACTAGAAGAGTTATTTATAAAGGAAATTATTCTTTAATACGAAGTATTAGAAGATATCGTTATAAATTAAAGATTTCTTTTTTAAAATATATTTTAATTAGAAGTTTATTATTAATTATAAATAAAACGTAAATTAAATATTATCTTTTATTTATAAACTAATAAATAGATAAAGCGATAAAATTAGACTTTAGAATATTATCTAAGAGTATATTATTTAAAGCGATAAAACGATTAAATAAAGCTTCTATTAATTGTAGAATTTATATATTATTAAAGCGAGTATAAAATAATTAATTATAGCTTATTTATCGTTATATATAAATATTAACTAAAATTTAAATTAATTATTAAAAATAATATTATCGAGAAAGAAGTATTTATAATAAAAGAATATATTAAAGAAATCGATATAATTTAATAAGAGTTTACGAAATATTAATAAAGCGTATAAAAAACGTAATCGAAGTTTTATAATAAGAATTATAAATCGTAAAGATTTAATCGTAATAATCTTATTATATTTTTAATAAAGAATTTAAAATAAAAAAGATTAAGTAAAAAGCTTTCTAATAAGCTAATTAGTTTATTTTATATTTAAAAGTATATTAAAACGTAAACGTATCGACTATAGCTATCGCTTACTTATTAAATTTACTTTATTTTTTATATATTATTATTAGAATTATAGAAATAAAGGTTAAAAGATTTAGATATCTCTAAATATTCTATTTCTAAACTAATAAAAGATAACGAAGAGTATTTAATAAAATTTATATATAAAAAGCGTATAAAAAAGAATAAGATAAAATATCTTATTTAATAGAAAGATTATTTTAAGAAATATAATAAATAGCTTAATAAAGAAGTTATAGAAAATATATAAAATCTAATTAATAAGTTTAGTAAGTAGAGCTTACGAGTATAAAACGCGTAGAGTATAAATATCGAAAAAGGGCTTAAAGATTAATAATCTTAAAAGATATTTAAAGATAAAGAATTTAGCTATAGAGAGTTAAATCTCGAATATTATAATAAAAAATAATATTAAAAAAACTAATAAAAAGTATTAATACTTAAAGATAAGAAAGAAAAGAGTATATGATTAGAAGTAATAGATATTATAGTATAAGATATATATACGTAAAACGGCGGGCTAGTTAAATCTCTTAAATATATTAAAGATATTATTATTAATATCGTTATTATTAAGATTATTCTTTAAATCGCCTTTATAAACGAATCTTATCTTATTATTTATCTTATTATCTTTATTATCTTTCTTCTCTTCTTCTTTCTCTTTATCCTTCTCTTTCTCTTTATCTCTACTATTATTTATCTTACTCTTATCTTATTATTTTTAAAGTTTAAGCTCGACTTAAAAAGCGTAAAAGATATATCTATTAAAGAAAGATTAATTTAAAGTATACTTAATATAAATGCGAAGAATAAGAAACGAATATAAAAAGTATAGATATATATAATAAAGCGTATTACGTCGTAGATATCTATAAAAATATTAAGAATCTTTTAAAGAATCTTCGCTTTATTAAGCGAAGCCGCTTTTATATCTAACTTCTTCTTTATTTCTAATTAATTTTTAATATATTAAATCGCTATTAAGACTATATTAAAGTATTTATAAGTAATCTTAAAGCGCGTAATAGATATAAAATTAAGAATATTATAAGTAAGAAGATAATAAATAATATAAATATATTATAAATAAATGCGAATTATAGTATTAGTATTAATAATAATATATTTATTTATAGAGATCTTTTAAATAAATTAATAGACGCTATAGATATATCTATTACGCGTTATTTATATAAAAACTTATTATAATATAATTATTTCGAAGATAAGCGTAATAGTAATACTTAATAATTATATTACTATTATTATTAAATATAATATTATATAAGCGAAGAATATACTTAAAGACTTATCGCGTATAGCGATAATAGATATTCTTATTTAATATCGAAAGGGGTTTAGCGCTACGAAGAGCGAGTATTATAAATTATAATTATTAATTTATAAGAAATATATATATAATTATAAAGTCTTTAAAATACTTATAATAATAGCTATAACGTCTATATAATATATTAATTAAATATATATTTATTATATATTAATTATAGAGAGTATAAATTATTAAGAGTAATAAAGAAGTATTAATAAAATAGAAAACTTTTTTAAAAAAAAGTAAATATTATTATAATTACACGTTAATTATACGCGTCGTATACTTAAATTATAATATTAATAATTACTCTATATATCGTTATAACTATATCTAATCTATAAGAGTATATCTAATATTATATATAAGCGTTATATACTTTTATTATATATTTATAATATATTATATTTACGCTATACTATTATAAGAAACTCTTTTTCTTCTTTTTCTATAAGATTTAAAAAATTTTAATAAATCTTTTAATAATAAGAAAAAGTTCTTTCTAAATTTAGATTCGAGAATAAATTTTTAAAGAAAAAAGATAATTATTAGAAAAGAAGCTTAAGAGTTTTAAATAAGAGAATCTTTAATTACTTAACTTATATATCTAATATACGCTTAGCGAAGTCTTAGCGAATAAGCTTAAATAAGTAATCTCTCTCGAGTTTTCTTTACTTTCTTAAGAATTAGTTTTACTATTAAATCGATATACGAATATATCTATCTCTCTAATTTTATATTACTATATAACTCTAAGACTCTTCGAGTCTAATAAGCGTATACTCTATAGCTACCACAGCTACCTCAAGCGTATATCTCGATATCTACTTAATAGCCTACTTTTACTTCTTCTCTCGCTCTTATTTAAAGCTCAAGTTCTATAGATAAATCGAATCTAGATTATTTAGTTATAGAGTAGTTCTTTAAATAAAAGAGATCTTAGACCTCTAAGACGATATAAAAGAATAAGATCTTAGAGGTAAGATATATCGCTAATATAAATATATAAATAATTAAGTATCTAAAAGTAATAGAGGATTCTATATCTATTATATATCGTATTACTATATAATTAGAGATTCTTAATACTTTAACTAGAGACTTTAAGATAGACTTAAAGATATTTAAGTCTTAATAGCGATAGATAAAGATCTTAATAACTCTAAGATAGTAGTAATAGTAGTAAATATAGTTTAATCTTTAAAATCTATCTAAATATCGCACTTATTAAGAGCTCTATTTAATTCTCTTATATTCGCCTTAAAGATATAGTTTCTTATAGTACTATACTTAAAATACTTTCTTAGAAAATAATCGTATCGACTTCTCCTCACGATATATTATAAAAAGTTATTAAAGTTCTTTTAAAACTAAGACTATATCTTATAAAAGTATCTTTAAATTTATATCTTTAAGATATTAAAAGAGAGCTCGATAAAATTAAAATCTAATAAGTAGAGAGATAAATATCGAACCTCGTAATTATACTAACGAATTACCTTCTTAATATAAGAATTATAATATATATTAATATTATCTATAATAATAATACTACGATAGATTAAGAAGATATCGTAGTAAGATAGTAACTCGTTAATTAATTATTAAAAGAAGGCCTTAATATTAAATTATCCCTTCTTAAATTCAATATAGAGTAAATATTTATTTACTATATACGCCGGAAGTATACTTTAAAAACGTTCTTTTCTTAAATTTATATAATATTAATCGTCCTAATTAATAAGAGTATAGACTCTATATCATTAGTTTATAAATTTATTAAATAGAGTCTCATCTATAAAGACTAGCTACTCTACGATTATATAAAGAAGCTTTATAATTCAATATAGGCGAAGCTTCTTATTCTATCGATATTCGACTCTTTAATTATTCTTCTTATTTAAACGTCTTCTCTTAAGAGTTTTTAATATTATAAATCGATATATAAATAAGTTCTACTTCTCTTAAAGAAATTAGACTATCTCTTTCTATATAACCTATAACTGATCTTTAAAATACTTAATAAGAAAGTTTTTAACGATTAAGTAAAGCTTGCGAGGGGTATTTTTAAGACGAAATTATAGTTTATAAATTAAGTTATATATAAAGAGACTTTCTTAAATATTATAAACCGTCTATATATAGTAGTAGATATTCTAGATAATAATATTAGATCTCTAGTATAGAAGTAGTAAATAAATAATTCTAAATCGAATAGACGGAGATAAGCCTCTTCTATCGATCATTGCGAAGGGCATTTCGAAATAATAGAAATTAATTAAGCGAGATATATAGAAGCTTTAAATATAATAAGAAAGATAATAGAATACGATATAGGAGAAGATTCATCTACTTAGTACTACTTTTAGTGGGGTGTATATGAGAATCTCAGTGCCAAGTATTCTAACGTTTTCTGCACACGCTAATTCCTTTCGAATGCTTGACACCCGAGAACCAACACACACCTCCAAACCGAGTTGCAATGAAAGCATACGCCATACATACATGGCGGCTGTGAAAGAGGGAGTTGATGAAGTAGATTGCGTTGCTGGATGTGTTTCGACGGATAGCAATATGAAGCGCAGTATGGCCGGAGGTGATTTGTGCGTCGATGTTCGCACCACCCGAGAGCAGTGGGGTAAAAAACAATGGAAGATCATTCTCGCTATAAGACCACGAAGCTGCGTAATGTAACGCAGTAGTCTTGGAAATCGCCAGCATCCACTTTCGCGCCAGCTCCCAGAAGCGGTCTGATGCATGATGAGTTGTCCACAAGCACCGAGTATGCAGATCTTAAAGATGAATTGGCACAAATGAGAGGAGAAATTGAAAAGCTCCGACATGAAGAGCTGCTGCAAGGGGACGAGATCCGTGCACTCAAGGCCGAAGTCCGATCTTACCAGGATGAGCTGAGGGTGCTGAACGGCAAAGTCCAAAAGGTCGAAGACCAAGCGTTACAGGAGGCTTCCGCCGTGAATATCGGAAAGGAAACTCGCCTGCGACATCTGGAACGACACTAACAGCAGATGGAAAGGAGCATTGGCAAGTTCGGCTACGAACGCATCAAGACCTGGGATCTTGCTGCGCACCGTGATCGACCAGTGGTCAATGCGTTGCTCTGCCTGACCGGCCTTATCACCGATCGTACGATCTATCCGGATCTGTACGGAGTGAGCCCAGACACCATGAAACGATGGAAGGACGTCCCTGAGATGATTGAGATCACGAATTTCCACGCTTCGCTGCAGAGTGAGGGAAGGCTGACAAAGGACTTTCGGGTCCCCTTTGACCGTCTAGTTGAAATGGGGAAGACCTTTGTCTCCTCAATTGAGAAGACCCTGTCCGGACCGGATAAACTATACTCTACGCTGAAACGATAGCCAGCAAGCCAACCTCGCCAACCATTTATCACGAACCTGCTTCTCCGTCCCGTCTGCCAACTTCAACTTTTCGACACAGTCAGAGCCCCTCCCCGGTTCCACTTGCCGGCGAGCCTTTCTTGATTGCAATGAACACTCGAGCGAAGGAAGGTGCAGTGAGAACTCCGTTGCGAGACGGTAATCGCAACAGAAGAGATGCTACTGCGAATGACCAACTGCGAATGACCACCAGCGACAGAAAAAGCTCCCTCCAACCATGGGCTTTGCCGATACTTTAGCAGTGTTCATGACCTTGGCTCTGAAACCCCAGAGAACTAGACAAGAGGCATACGGAGGGTGCGGTAGCTACAGGAGATGAAGAGGCGCCAGAATCATGAGGGAAGATATATATAAGGTTTAGGGAGGCAGAAGTTGGAGGCTTTAAAGACGGTGCGGGTAGAGTTCGTGTTCCGGTACTCTATACTATTGGCTTCGGAGTTCATAGTTGTAAGTGTCTAATAATATCTCTTGCGCCCTCCACTAGTACAGTCTGAGACCCCAGAAGGAGGACTTCGCCTCGGATTTCAGCGTCATCCTACCCACAAGCTCGATACACCGCAAGCATCTGAGGCGTGGCCCTCGTCCTCTTCCTCTCTTGTGACAGCTGCCTGTCTCTTACTTTCAGGCCGGGTATCAACTGCGGGCGGCATTTTCTTGATAGCGTTACCTAATCCTTGAACCGCCATTGAAGTCTTCAAAGTCTTGTCGGAGTGGTGTAACAATGGAGTCGAATACAGCGTCTTGGAACTCTGCATTGTCAAGGCTAGCGTCCCTAACATCAGGGGGGCACTTCAAGCATCTCCGGACGACGTCGCCATACCTGCTACCACTCTCACTGTATACGTAATCAATAAGACGGCTAGCAGTGTTGAAGTTGGTCATGACTTCGGTTGTATCGACATCCTCCTGGATTCGCATTTCATATATGTTCTGCCCAAAGCAGAGCTCAGTGAGCGTAATCCCAAGCACAAATAAGATCTCACTTGGGATGCGATGAGCAAAATTACTTCGAGTCGGATCTGCGATTAGAGCTGTGTCCACATCCTCCGGAGAAACCTTCCATGACACATACGGATGGGCAAAGTCAACTTTTGGCGCAGATGATTTCCGGTCCTCGAGAGGTAAGAAGAGGATGTCGCCACTCCTCCATTGTTTCTTTAGCCACAAGGTCCCGTCCAACTGGAGTACGCTGGACGCCAATATAACAGCAATATACAAGCGATCTCGGCGACTCAGACTAAAGCCTGGGTCTCGTTGTTTCGAAACATGCAAAAGATATTCGAGCGACTTGGGATCCGTTCCCTGTCGGACCCTGTCATCAACAAGATATACGTCATGCCGGTGTTGGCCAACAATTTCATCTGTGAGAAAGCCTATCCCCTGTCTGACACCGTAGTGCTCCGACACTGCGGTACATATATCATTGATCGGGCCCATTCCGGTATGAGAGAGTTCTGTCGGTGCAGGAGGCCGAGTGGGTTTGGTGGGTGGTGTGAATGCAAAACTGACGGCCTTCTTCTTTGCGAGTGGTTCGGAACTTTCTCTGGGCTTAGCTTGAGTCGGTCACAAAATCCGGGTTTTTCGAACTTACGAAGAGACAAGAGATAGTGTACTAATACCCAGTGTTTCGGCGTTCTTCCCAAATTCAGCCATTGGACTTTCAGACGTCTCCATTGGCTCGATTTCGAGCTCTCGCCACTTCCATTTGACCTCAATAACATCATCTGGGCACGATTTCGATAGCAAGACTCTGAATTTCAGACGCTAGCCCCGACAGCGTTACCTTTACCCTTGTCCTCCTCCCAAGGTCTTGGCTCCAAGCGTAAGCTAGCCACGTGGTATTTTTGGCATCCACATCTCCATGATCTTCCCGCAACCATGACGTTGTAGAGACTTCGTGCCTGACGTCTGATAAGTTGGAAGTCCACTGGCTGACGCTTCGACCGGCGCTTTTTTCTGTTGGATTCAAGGATGTGGCTTTCCTTTGTGAACTCTTTGAGCTCGTGATTGGCTTCTTTGATCTCGGAAAGGAGGTCTGCGTAGACATTCTTGGATAAGGCAAGCTTCAGTCTCTTGTATTGTCGTTCGGGTGAGGAATAATCGTCCCAAAGGATCTAATACGGCAAAGAATATTAGTTAGTGCGACTAATAAAATAAGACAGCAGAAGGAAAGCGGACCTCCCCGTTCTCCCCTATGCCCAATTCCTTACGAGCCGCTTCTAGAGACTCCAACATATCTGCCATGATCCTAGTGTAATTGCCATATGAACGGCCTAGGCGGGTGCTCAGTCTTTCCTCGTATTCTGGCTTGTGGGAGAAAGCGCCTCCTGGGTTCTTCATGAAGGCATCTAATTCATCGTTGGACTGGATGATGCCCTCAAATAACCTTTCGATCGTGTTTAGATAGACGATTCTTTGCGTCTCGGGAGTTCGAGAATATTTATCGAGCTCTCTCCTGAAGCGTTTCCAGGACTTGATGGTCTCCACGCCCTCTGTGAAATGCTGCACCTCGCTACTAGATAGAGTAATATTCTAAAGCGTTTATCTCCGACGTTGATATTCGTACCTACGTTAAGTAGACATTTTATAATTTCTAATCTACGTTTCGATATATAGTCTATAGTAAGAAGTAGCGCCGTATTATTCTATTACGAAATAATAAATTTATAGTAAGTTAACTACTTATTTATTAAATAGCTAGAGCTTATTATCGAGTTATACTTTAAAACTATAAATTCTTATCGAATTATATTTCTAATTACTAGATTATACTCTTATATTAAAATTTAAAATATAATTCGATAAGAATTAATTACTTAGAGTATAATTCGATAATCTATTAAACTTATTATAGTAACTTACTTAAATAGTCTATTTATAGATATAGCTAGATATCTACTTTATATCTATATCTATATAGACTATTAGAAATAAAGAGTATATATAAGAGTTATAGATTAAATATAGATAGACTAAGTAATTAAATTAGTTTACTATTAATAATAGCTCTTAAGAAAATTCTATAACGATCTTACGAGAGCTCTATTTAGATTTAAATAGAGGTATCTAGCTATTAAGCGTAGATACTCTCGAAATTAAACTTTTTAACTATAAAAGTATTTTTTTTTTTTTTTTTTTTTTTTTTTTTTTTTTATATTTTTTTTTTTTTTTTTTTTTTTTTTTTTTTTTTTTTTTTTTTTTTTTTTTTTTATTTATAATTTTTTTTTTTTTTTAATTATATTTTTTTTTTTTTTTTTTTTTTTTTTTTTTTTTTTTTTATTTTTTTTTTTTTTTTTTTTTTTTTTTTTTTATATAATAAAAAAAAATATATTTTTTTTATTAAAATTTTTTAATTTTTTTTTATATTTTATTTTAAATTTTTGTTTTCTCTCCTTTTTAAATATTTTTATTAAATTTTTTCTAAAATTTTTTCGAGCTCTCTTATTAAAAATTTATATATAGAAGTTTTATACTTTAAAGTATTTAGTTTACGATATATATAATTAGTATATATAAAAGAATAAGATAGAGCTAAGCTTGAAAATCTTAAATTTATATATATAGTTAATTATTAATTTAAGATTATTACGCCTTTTAACTAGACTAACTAAGTTAGCCTACTAGTCCTCTCGAGCTCCCTTATTAAAAATTTATATATAGAAGTTTTATACTCTAAAATAATTAGCTCTCTACGAATATTATTTCTTTATAATTTCGTAAATTATAGAATTTAATATACGCTTTCTAACGCTATAAAAATAATAAAGTTTAATCTACTATTAATAAATTAAATAAATATTTAAATATAATAGTTATAATAGTTATATTAGACGCGTTCGAAATCGAATAATAATTCTTTCATCTATTTATTATTCTTTTATTATTCTATTAATTCTATTAATTCTATTAATTCTATTAATTTCATTAATATAAATATAATTATCTTCGATATTTCTCGCCTAATTAAAGCCTCTTACTAACGCCTCTAGATTATCTCTTAATAAATTTATTATTACTAGTAATTGAGGCCGTAAGCGAGCTTAATAGCTATCTATTACTACTTATAAACGCGTTAAAAAGCTCTTAAAAAGAGTCTAAACGAATACGTTCTTCTTTATATACTTCTTTTAAGTTAGCGATAGATAAGTTAAATTAATATTTAAATATTATAGTTATATTAAACGCGTTCGAACGTTATATACTCTCTACGATTTTATATTAAATTATTACTTAGTAAGCGAAGAATACTACTATAACTTAATCTATTATCTCTACTATATTAAGAAGTAAGAGAAGAAACTATAATAGATAAATACGAAGAATACTATAAAGAAATTAAGCGATAATAAGACTATTATTATTAAGAATACGACTTAGCTCTTTAAGATTCCACGTTATATACTCTCTACGGTTTTATATTAAATTATTACTTAGTAAGCGAAGAATACTACTATAACTTAGTCGTTCTATATTAAATTATTACTTAGTAAGCGAAGAATATTACTATAACTTAGTCTATTATTCTTACTATATTAAGAAGTAAGAGAAGAAACTATAATAGATAAATACGAAGAATATTACGAAGAAACTAAGCGGTAATAAGATTATTATTATTAAGAATACGACTTAGCTCTTTAAGATTTCACGTTATATACTCTTTACGATTTTATATTAAATTATTACTTAGTAAGCGAAGAATATTACTATAACTTAATTATTTTATATTAAATTATTACTTAGTAAGCGAAGAATATTACTATAACTTAATCTATTATCTCTATTATATTAAGAAGTAAGAGAAGAAATTATAATAGATAAATACGAAGAATACTACGAAGAAATTAAGTAATAATAAGATTATTATCGTTAAGAATACGACTTAGCTCTTTAAGATTCTACGTTATATTAGTTATTTACATTAAATTAGTTACTTAGCTAAGTTACTTAGCTAACTACTTAATCTAATACTCTATAAGAGAAGAAGTAAGAAAGAAACTATAATAGATAAATACGAAGAATAATAAAGAATACTACGAAGAAATTAAGCGATAATAAGATTTCTTAGTATTAAGAATACGACTTAACTCTTTAAGATTTCACGTTATATACTCTTTACGATTTTATATTAAATTATTACTTAATAAGCGAAGAATACTATTATAACTTAGTTTATTATCTCTACTATATTAAGAAGTAAGAGAAGAAACTATAATAGATAAATACGGAGAATACTACGAAGAATACTATAAAGAATATTACGAAGAAACTAAGCGATAATAAGATCTTTAATATTAAGAATACGGCTTAGCTCTTCAAAATCCTATATTATATACTCTCTACGATTCTATATTAAATTATTACTTAGTAAGCGAAGAATACTATTATAACTTAGTTTATTATCTCTACTATATTAAGAAGTAAGAGAAGAAACTATAATAGATAAATATAAAGAATACTATAAAGAAACTAAGCGATAATAAGACTATTATCGTTAAGAATACGACTTAGCTCTTTAAGATCTCATATTATATACTCTCTACGATTCTATATTAAATTATTACTTCGAAACGATATATATTTAAACGAATTAAAATTATTCGATATCTTACTCTAATAGCTATTTTATTATTCGAAAGATTTTACTACGATAGAAGATAATATAAGATTTATATTACTAATTAATATATTATCTTTATTTCTTTTTAATATTTCGATACTTCTTATTATAAGAATATAGTCTTTCTCTATTTTTTATAGATAATTATTACGAATTAATTCTTTATACTCGATATATCTTTCTAATTAAGTCTTAGCGCGTCTCTCTTTATATATATATATTTATATATAGATTAAAAACGTATAGTAAGCGATTAGAGTTCGATTTAACTTAGAAAAATTTAACTTTATAAATTTAATTTATAGGCCTTTACTTATTACTTTATAATTCTTTAAATTATAAAGCTCTTTATACACTTTCTAACGCTATAAAAATTATAAAGTTTAATCTACTATTAATAAATTAAATAAATATTTAAATATAATAGTTATAATAGTTATATTAAACGCGTTCGAAATCGAATAATAATTCTTTTATCTATTTATATAATTATTCTTCTTTTATTATTCTATTAATTCTATTAATTTTACTAATATAAATATATTTACTCTCGATATTCTCGTACTTAATTAAATAAGAGAAGAATCTATAATAGACGAATATAAAGAATATTATAAAGAATATTATAAAGATAGTTATTAGTAGTAGTAATATAATAAATCTACTCTTTATAATCTTATATTAATTTATTTAACTAGTATAAGAGAAGTTAATATAGTAGACGAATACGAAGAATATTACGAAGAAATTAAGCGATAATAAGATTATTATTATTAAGAATACGACTTAGCTCTTTAAGATCTTACGTTATATTAATTATTTACTTAATTAATTACTTAGCTAGCTACTTAGTCTAATACTCTATAAGAGAAGAAATAAGAGAAGAAATTATAATAGATAAATATAAAGAATATTACGAAGAAATTAAGTAATAATAAGACTATTATCATTAAGAATATAGCTTAGCTCTTTAAGATCTTATATTATATTAGTTATTTACTTAGTTAATTACTTAATTAATTAATTTAATACTCTATAAGAGAAGAAGTAAGAGAAGAAACTATAATAGATAAATACGAAGAATATTACGAAGAATATTATAGAGAATATTACGGAGAAATTAAGTAGTAATAAGATTACTATTATTAAAAATACGACTTAACTCTTTAAGATTTCACGTTATATACTCTCTATAATTCTATATTAAATTATTACTTAATAAGCGAAGAATACTACTATAATTTAATTTATTATTCTTATTATATTAAGAAGTAAGAGAAGAAACTATAATAGATAAATACGAAGAATATTACGAAGAATATTATAAAGAATATTACGAAGAAATTAAGCGGTAATAAGATTATTATTATTAAGAATACGACTTAGCTCTCTAAGATTCTACGTTATATACTCTCTACGATTTTATATTAAATTATTACTTAATAAGCGAAGAATATTATTATAATTTAATTTATTATCTTTATTATATTAATATAATATATTATTATAATAATATTATAAGAGAAGAATTTACTATAATAATTATAGTTAATTAAATCTCTATAGAAGAAATATTAAATAATATATATTTAAACGAATTAAAATATATAGCTATTTTATTATTTAAAAGATTTTACTATAATAAAAGATATTATAGAATTTATATTACTAATTAATACGTTATCTTTATTTCTTTTTAATATTTTAATACTTCTTATTATAA